GCCACCAACACCCGGCTAATATGAGATTTCTAAGTGGTGAATCTCATGGCCTCTGGCTCTGTTTAACTGGGAGGGAGCCAGGGCTGGGGTGTTACGATGAGTAGCAACAAATGGGTCAGGAGATCGTTCCTTTTTTGTTTGTTTTTATTTGATAGTCTGCAGCTGCTGGTTCGTCTCCTGTGTTTAAGACATCCTTCAGATAGAACACGAATGAGTAAGTGCCCCAAGAGCAGCTATTGTATTACACAAAGCTTTCACGTTAAGCATTAGGCACTCTAAAACTTTTCATGTATCATCTTGCTTAATACATAAAGTTGATGCCATCAATAGGAGTTCTTATTCCAGTTTCCAGTTGAGACCATGCCATTGTGGAGATCTGAAGGAGCCTCTTCCAAGACCACAGATGACATATAACCGGTGCTATAGGTATAATTTCCAATTAATGTCCAGTGTGCTTACTTTTGCTCCATGTTTCTTTCTGAGAAATATTTAGGAGCAGTACAATGTATTACTTAATGTCCCAGCTTACACTAAGGTGCTATTTGAGTGTCTGAGTTTGTCTGTTTGTGTCCCTGAGAAAGAGAGATGACCAATGACTGTATTTTGTCTTTCTTAGTCTTCTGGGAGGACCACTAAAAATCAGTAAAAGCTCATGGACAGATTAAAGCAATTGAGGGACTGACCTGAAGCCTATATGACCACACTGCTAGGTTTCTTAGAAGTAAATGGTGGGTGTGGAATGGCTTTGATGCCTGTCAACGCCCTCCCTTGGGATCTCATTCTTGTTCTCATTTAATTTCTGATTCTTTCCATTTTTCAAGAAATCACTTCTCCATCTGTTAGTTCATTCTGTTTAATTTCTCCCCATGTCTAGCAATTGTCATTCCCCATATGTCCACATAAAATCTACCACCTAGAAGAAAAAAATACCAGAAAATAAGACTCACCACTAAAATGAAATTTGTAGTTAATTGGAGTTAACACTTCTACTTCCAAACAAAATTTATTAATAGAGACCAGATTCACATATTTCCTGGAAAACACTAAGAATGTAGACACACTATAGTAAGCAACTTTTATTACAACATTTGATATCAGCCATCACAAGACATTGATGTCTTAAATGCAGGAAATAAATGAAGCAATTCCCATTGCCAGACCTGATAAAGGACTACTTTCCTGGCCATGGTGCTGGGATGATGAAACAAGCCAGAGCTCAGGAGCTTCCTGAATTTTGAATACAAAGTCAGTAGTTTAGTGAGACATTTGAGGCTTTTATTTCATAGTGTAAAAGAAAACTTTTGGGGTCAGAGTAATTAACACCTGAAGAAGTAGTAATACTGAGGGCTACACCAAAGCTATTCTCGGTAACCTCAGAAATGTGGAACACTTCATAATACATAAGTTATTTGGCAGATCTCAAAAGACCATTGCCTTGCCTCAATACTAGAGAAAATGTTTTATTAAATGTTGTTCTTGTCTGAGCCGGGCAATGGTGGCACACGCCTTTAATCCCAGCACTCAGGAGGCAGAAGCAGGAGGACCTTTGTGATTTCGAGACCAGCCTGGTCTATAAGAGCTAGTTCCAGGACAGCCTCCAAAGCCACAGAGAAACCCTGACTCCAAAAACCAAAAAAAAAAAAAAAAGAAAGAAAGAAAGAAAAAAGTTGTTCTTGTCTGAGTAAATCACCCAAAAATATGACCCCAAAGCATCCAGGATTTGCAAATAACTATATCCCTGAAAGAGGATCAAGAACTCAAAAGTAGGAATACAAAAACATTCAGCACACTATAGTGAAAATTCAAAGATAGCACCAGAAAAAAAAAAAATCACCAGGCATCCAAGAGTCAGGAAAGTCCAACTTCAAATAATAAAAAAAGACTCAACTGTAAAGTACATAGAAAATATGCAGATGATATAATTGGTAGGAATGAGCATTAAAATGTTTATTCTAACTGTATCTCATGTTCAAGAAGTCTGAGCATGTTACAAAAATGCATGCAAATAAAAGACCCCCAACTGAAAATCTAGAGCTGAAAACGACAATGAGTGAAAAGAAAAAAATCCCATCTCTGATGACTGAAGGGATTGACAGGAGACAGACAATCAGAAAAAAAAAGATTAATGAGCTTAAAGGCATGACAAATAGAAACATCTGAAATGAGACACACAGAAGTCAGACTTTAAGGGGCTTCATATGTGTGTAATGAATGGGTCCTCAAATAGGTGGTACAGGGATGAAAAATAATTGAAGAAATAATATACAAGAAATTTTTTGACATGTCAAGATTTGTCATTTTTATTTTTTATAAATTTATTTATTTTCTCCATTTTTATTTAAACTAGAAACAAGATTGTTTTACATGTCAATCCCAGTTCCCTTTCCCTTCTCTCCTCCCCTGCCCCTGACTAACACCCTACCTATCCCATACCATTTCTGCTCCCCAGGGAGAGTGAGCCCTTCCATGGGGGTCTTTGGACTCTGTCATATTCTTTGGGATAGAGCCTAGGCCCTCACCCATGTGTCTAGCTCAGGGGGTATCCCTCTATGTGAAATGGGCTCCCAAAATCATTCCTATGCTAGAGATAAGTACTGATCTACTACAAGAGGCCCCATAGATTTCCAAGGCCTCCTCACTGACACCCACATTCATGGGGTCTGGATCAGTTCCGTGCTGGCTTCACAGCTATCAGTCTGGGGATCGAGTTCCCCCTTGTTCAGGTTAGCTGTTTCTGTGGGTTTCACCAGCCTGGTCTTGACCCTTTTGCCTATCAGTCCTCCTTATCTGCAACTGGATTCCAGTTGAGCTCAGTGTTCAGCTATGAGTGTCTGTTTCTACTTCCATCAGGTGCTGGATGAAGGCTCTAGGATGGCATATAAGTTAGTCATCAATCTCATTATCAGAGGAGGGCATTTAAGGTAGCCTCTCCTCTGTTGCTTAGATGGTTAGTTTGTGTCATCCTTGTAGATCTCTGGACATTTCCCTAGTGCCTGATTTCTCTTTAAACCTATAAGGCTCCCTCTCTGATGGTATCTCTTATTTTTCTCTCTACACAACCTTCCTGCTCCCTTATGTCCTCCTCACCTCTCTTCTTCTCCTCTTCTCATTCTCCTAGCTCCCTCTACCCTCTCCCATGCTCCCAATTTGCTCAGGAGATCTTGTTCCTTTCCCCTTCTCTAGGGGACCATGTATGTCTCTCTTAGAGTCCTCCTTGTTGCCTAGCTTCTCTAGTAGTGGTGTGGATTGCAGGCTGGTAATCCTTTGCTCTATGTGTAAAATCCATATATGAATGAGTGCATACCATGTTTGTCCTTTTGTGACTGGGTTACCTCGCTCAGAATGGTTTCTTCTAGTTCTATCCATTTGGCTTCGAATTTCAATATTCCATTTTTTTTCTTGCTGAGTAGTACTCCATTGTGTAAAAGTACCACATTTTCTGTATCCATTCTTCATTTGAGGGGCATATCGGACCATGTGCTTTAAAGAAGTGCAGATTCCCAGATGTTAATTATACCACAGTATATCTGTTTTTAATATTTTACAGAGATATTTGCACAGCTATGTTTATTGCTGTCCTAATAAGTCTATGTGTCAGTCAACAGATGAATCAATAAAGAAATTGCACTGTGTGTGTGTGTGTGTGTGTGTGTGTATGCACTTGTATGCACATGTGCTTTATTTGCCATGAAATTATGCTGCTTGCAGAAAACTGGAGCTTATCATGTTTAGTGAAATAAGCCAGGCTCAGAAAAAATATTGCATGTTTCCTTCACATGTGGATCCTAGATTTTTTTAAATAGATATACAAGGTAGGCTGGCTAGTTTTATGTCAATTTGACACAAGCTAAAGTCATCTGAGAGGAGAGAACCATAATTAAGAAAATGCCTCCATAAGATCTGGCTGTGGGCAAGCCTGTAGGGCATTTTCTTATTTAGTGAGTGATGTGGGACGGCTGATCCCACTGTGCTTGGTGCAACCATGGCTGGCCAGGTGTTCCTGGGATCTATAAGAAAGCAGGCTGAGGAAGCCATGGGGAGCAAGCCAGTAAGCAGCAACCTTATGGCTTCTACATCAGCTCCTGCTTCCAGGTTCTTGCCCTGCTTGAGTTTCTGTCCTGACTTCCATCAATGATGAATAGCGCTGTGGGAGTGTAAGCCAAATAAACCCTTGCCTCCCTGAGTTGCTTTGGTTATGGTGTTTCATCATAGCAATAGGAACCCTAACTAAGACATAGGATTTAGAAAGGAGAGGGAGAAAAAAGAAACCAATAGGAGGAGGAAGTGAGGAGGCTGTAGGAAGATGGGAGATACATCTGAGCAGAATATATGATGTACTTGAGAGAAGTCTTTGCAAAGCCTAACACTATATATAGTAAACATACACCAATTAAAAATCTGCAATTGAAACAAAGCATGCTATCAGATATTTTGCATCTTTCTCCAGTTTTCCAGAACCGTTCCTCCATTGTCCACAGTTTCTCTGAATCCCCACTATCCTTCCAGTAAATTCTTCAGAATCTAAGTGGGAAAAGTGGGAAACAATCTAGCAGTCATAGTGTGTAGCAACTAAAGAGATGTGTATGGTTTCCATAACTATTGTCCACAGCTAAGATGAGAAATGTGACATGTTTGCTTTAAGATGTTGAGTTCCCAATCTGACCTTTGCTTTGTGCATTCATTAGGCACTTGTTTACCAGTTGTCCTCCCTGCTCTTTCTTCTAGACAATGAACAAGACTTGGTCTCTTTTGATAAGTTCTACCCTTATACAGTTCTAGATATCTCATAATAGGTATTTGTTAAATCTTTATGAAATTTGTTAGAATTTTATCACTCCTATGTAAAAGATTTACCCAGAAAAAATTACAGTTTTGATGATTAAAGGCTTTAAGTCACCACAAATCACTGATTTCAAGATTTTCTACTCTTTAAATTTTCTTTAAGTTTGATTACAATAATGCAAAGTTGACCTTAAAACTCGACTTTCTGTGTTCTATAGTGCCCCTTCATGTTCTGATGTACCTGAACAAGGAAGACCATAGATTATGATTATTACTCTGGAATTCCAAATCCTGACTGTGCAAAGCTCCATGGTGATGAAACAATCAAGAAAAAGATGATGGATACAAGGGGAGCACAGGTTCAGCGTCACAGTTAAGTAGAAGTGCATCACTCATGATGATGCCTGTTGGCACAGGTTCATCATCACAGTTAGGTAGAAATTTGTCACTCATGATGACAACTGTTGCTTCTTCAGATAGCCCACCCAACATTTGAACAAATTATTTCACCTGCCAGCAATTTTGTTAGAAAGATTGAATGGTGGAAACTTGATGACTTCACTGATGTCTATCTTTCTCAAGGGACTCAGCTCCAAATCTGAGTGACCAAAGGTGAAGATGGAGAGGGCCAGCAGATGTGTTGGGAGAGGCACTGAAGCAGAGATTGGGGAATTGTTCAAAGGGTGGGCTTGTGTTGATAACAGCTTTTTCTAAGTTGTACCTAAGCATTTGATTATCAAAGTCAGTCATTATGAATTTGCTATAAGTGTCTCCAAAGCTGACAATTTTAATATTCTTTAATATTTATTTATAACATTTGATAATGCTGCATTTTTCACACCAACAGTCCCCCCTTGGTCATTATTTTACCCCTCCCCCAAAGGATTCGGTACACTGTAGCATTTACAAATTTAGCTGCATGCATGCACGCTTGAGCACGTGTGTGTGTATGTGTGTGTGTGTGTGTGTGTGTGTGTGTGTGTGCATGTATGTGTGCATGCACATAAAGGAGAGCACTGATGCCCATTTATTATTTTATGAACAGTTAGGGACCAACCCTAGGAAAGTCTGTAGATTTCTCTCTGTGTGTCTTGAATTGTGCATATTGAATTTAACTGAGGAAACATGTCATTTTCCAATCATTAAAAAGAATAGATAATGGAGGAAAGTTTGTTTCCCAAAGTTTTTTTGTGGGTGCAGCAGAATTCCCCTAAAAAACTGTCCAGATTCCTAATGATGCCTGTGGAAGCTTATAAAATCATTTAGTGAATCAAGGTAGTCACAGTTTTAAGTGAAATAGAATACATTTCACATTGTTTACATAAGTCAAAACATTAGATGCATACTGTAAGTATATACTATTTCCATTGAACAATTTATAACTTGATATAGCTGGAAAAATTTAAAAGAAAATAAATATAGAACATATAGAACACCAGGGTACATCAGAGTTAGTAAAGATAGAAATGTTCCCTGCAATGTGTTTCATACAGTCACACATGTAATTAGGTGTGTGTTTAATAGTATGGACAGGATCAGATCTTCCTCAGTTGCCTGAGTTTCTTGTTCAGGATATGGAAGGGGTGTCAGGATTTGGTTCAACATTATTGGTGAGGGCAGTTTGGGATGACACTTGCGTCAGAGACAATGCATCACACCTTGCTTACCTAATGTCAGTGCTCCTTATCCAAGAAGTTAAAAATTTGACTAGAGCAATGTGGAAAAAAGAACCCTTGCTACCTAGTTACCTGCCAGCTGGAACATGGTTTTCCTAACTTTTAACATACAAGAAAATACGATTTCGTGTTCTTCATATTATTGGGCTTCAGTCTGGAGCTATGCCAGAGTACATATTGGGACTTGTCAGTGCCATAATTGTGGGAGGCAATTCCTTATGATAAATCTCTACCTATTGGTTCTGGTTTTCTGATGTTTTGATGGAAGTCTTGGTTTACTATTTTGTTTTGTTTTTCTGGCTTATGAAAATCTATATCCTAATTCCAGAACCTGTGTCTGTGGTCAATGCACAGTAGCTTAAATCACCAATGATCTGGGTAGGATTAACCTCATCTGTAAGCCCATTTAAAAGAGGGACTTGCCTCTGTCTGAAGACATTGAAGGAGTCCTTAGTGTTGTTGTGTAGTAGATTCCCCATGGGAGCTCTTCCATTGGCTGAGATGTGAGAAGCCATGAGATTCCCGTCAAGGGAACTGTGACTAGTTTTGCTTTGAGAGAATCTAAGCTCAGTACTAAGAAACAGACAACTCATCCCCTCCAACATCAGGGCACCCAGTTCTGACAAAACTGGATCAGATGGGAACTAGCTTCTGCCAGAGTGCCTCCAGCCTCCTTGGCTTCTTTCTAGTGAGGCCCTAGAGGAAAGAACCAGAGGGAGTCCTCCTGCTTTAGAGCCACAGAATTGAACTAACAGTGGGTGCTTTTAGCCACTAGACAGTAAATGAGTGTGCACTGGCATGAGGTATCTTCTGAGACTGCATTGATAGAGACTTGGGGCCCAGTCACTGGTGTGAAGTTGAAGGTGGGGCTGTAATGACTTCACTAAAGCAAAGATAAATGATAAATGGGTGTTTATTGGGGAACAATTACACAGAAAAATACAAAGAACTGTGGGAGCATTTCCCTGCCCTTCCTACGGGATGGGCTGACCCACCAGAAAGACTGAGGGAAGGAAAGCCACTCCTCAAGCTTCCCTCCTTCCACTTCCAGACACCTACATGAAGTGAGCACATGCAATGTACTTGTTTAGCTGTGTGATCTTGTGGGTGTAGTGACTCTGCAGCTAGCGGGTCTCATAGTAGTTCTCTTGTTTCCATATCACACTTGAGGCAGAGGCTGTGATTACTCTGCAGGACAGTCCTGTACAGTATTCTTCTGGGATCCCAGGAATCTAGCCTAATGCCCATTTCTAGTGGCACTATGAGCACACACAAATCATACCACACACAGTTAGGTGATTAATTTTTAAAACGTGATTTCTATTACATGATGCTGAACCCCATCTGTTTTATTTCTAAACCTGTTCCATTGTTGAATTCAATGACATTTGAGGGTTTATTCAAATCTCTGAGTATCTTTCACCTCTTACTTTGTGACAGTGTCTCCTCTCTTAAACATAGTAAATGTATTTGTATTGTGTGTGTGCATATGTGTGTATTTAAAAGTACGAGGTTAAGTTACACAGGAATGAGACTAGGAGACACAAGGAAAAGAGGAGATGATGCAAGGACTGTCTCCAAAAGTGCTGGCACATCAGAGAGACCAGCAAAGGCAACTGGAGAAACTCCAGAGGGGGGCAGGTGGAGAAATAATTAACAGAAAGGCAGCAGTTCCCAAGTCCAGTAAACAACTCTTCTAAAACGGAAGAGAACACGTGACAAACATCGATGCCAGGTCAGGTGCAACTAAGTCTAAAGAGTGACCATTGGATTTTGTAATGTGGAGATAATACACACAGGATAAAATCAGTTTTATTGGCACAAGGAGCTGTCCAGCAGAGGTTTGATGGAAAGATCTATACATGGTGGTTAAGACAATTCTTTCAGGGAGATTGGTTGTGAAACTGAGAAAATAAGATGAACATAGAACTGAGACCAAGTCAGAATTTTTTTCATTGAGGGGCAGCACTTTTGTGAGGCAATGAGGGTGGATCTGGTAGAGTGGAGTCAGAATTTTTTTCCATCTGAATCTGTCTTGTGTATCTCTAGTCTTCTTGGTCTGTTTGAGCAAAGCTGCTAAGCTACTGTTGGTTCCTCTTCCTGCAGCTTTGGCGAAGGTTCTACTCCTTCTTGGGTCTGTGAAAGTTAAGCCTAAACCTGCAGGCCAGGTCCAGAGATGTGTGGCTGGGAACTGCATTGGACCCCCAGCTCTAGAATGCCAGTGTCTGTACTGTGGCAGGCATTTTTACTTAGCTTGCTGTTTTTAATTAGCATACTGGCTTTCCCCTCCCCACTTTTTAAATTTAAATTTGAAACAATCTTGTTTTACATATCAATCTCAGTTCCCTCTCCCTGCCATCCTCCCATACTCCCTACAGTCCCCCCTTCCAATTCCCTTTCTGCTCAACAGGGAAGGGGGTCATCCATGGGGGATCATAAAGTTTGTCACATCATTTGAATCAGGGTCTAGATCACATTTCGAGACTGAGAGAGTATCCCTCTATAGGGAATAGGCTCCCAATGTCCATTTGTACATTAGGGATAAATACTGACCCACTACCAGAGGCCCCATAGACTGCCCAGGCCTACTAACTGACACCCATATTTAGGGGGCCTGGGTGAGTCCCACCCATGTTCTTTTCCCAGCTATCAGTCTGGGGTCCATGAGCTCCCCCTTGTTTAGGTCAGCTGTTTCTGTGGGTTTCCCCAGCCTGGTCTTGACCACTTTGCTCATCACTCTTCCCTCTCTGCAACTGGATTCCAGGAGTTTGGCACAGTGCTTAGCTGTGGGTGTCTGCTTCTATTTCCATCAGCTACCAGATGAAGGCTCTAGGATGGCATAAAAGGTAGTCATCAATCTCATTATCAGGGAAGGGCATTTAAGGTAGCCTCTTGACTATTGCTTAGATTCTTAGTTGGGGTCATCCTTGTAGATCTGTGGACATTTCCCTAGTGCCTGATTTCTCTTTAAACCTATAATGGCTCCCTCTACTATGGTATCTCTTTTCTTGTTCTCTTCTATTCTTCCCTAGATTCAACCTTTCTGCTCCCTGATGTCCTCCTCCCCCCTTCTCTTTGTCTTAACTCCTTCTCCCCTCCTCCATGCTTCCAAATTGCTCAGGAGATCTTGTCCCTTTTCCCTTCTCCAGGGGAATAAGTATTTCTCTCTTAGGATCCTCCTTGTTTCCTAACTTCTCTGGCAGTGTGGATTGTAGGCTTGTAATCCTTTGCTCTATGTGTAATATCCATATATGAGTACATACCATGATTGTCTTTTTGTGACTGGGTTACCTCACTCAGGATGGTTTCTTCTAGTTCCATCCATCTGCCTGCAAATTTCAAGAGTCCATTGTTTTTTTTTTTCTGCTGAGTAGTACTTTATTGTGTAAATGTAAATGTAAATGTACATTTTCTTTATCCATTCTTCAGTTGAGGGACATCTAGGTCACTTCCATGTTCTGCCTATTACAAATAATGCTGCTATGAACATTAATTGAACAGATATCCTTCTTATATGAATGTGCAGCTTTTGGGAATATGCCTAAGAATGGAATTGCTAGATCTTGAGGCAGACTGATTCCCATTTTTCTGAGGAACTGCCATACTGATTTCTCAAGTAGCTATACAAGTTTGCACTCCCACCAGCAGTGAAGGAGTGTTTCCCTTTCTCCACATCCTCTCCAGCATAAACTATCA